CCTTCTTACTTGGCGCCAGTCGTCCACAAAGATCCGATACTATGGAACCTAAGGTTTACAATAGCCCGACGCTAGAGCTTATGGTGAGCCAGCTTAGTCCATTCTGCAGTTTCACATATTGTTTGTTGAAGATTAGCTTTAGATATTATCCTCCCGTCTACGCCAAGGTCTCTCAAGTTGTCTATTTCCAAATGGATTTTAACACTAAAATTCTGAAAAATGTTCTCATTTATCTCATGAGTGTCCTTTCAATTACATCCTCCTTGATTTGATCATTCTAAGGATATTTGACAAATGCTGCTATCTAGTGGACACAGATGGAACCTGTAACAGGTAATACCAACGGAAATCTTAACTGATAGATTTCCCCTGTTTCGGTTATTATTTAACGACAGTCTTCCAATTAGTGAAGTCACTGAGCATGAATCAATTTGTGTTTAACGAGACTGTATTACAGCAGAAGTTATTTAGACATTTCAGCATCTTTAGTTTTGTAATCAAACACCTGCACTTCTGAATGTTCTACACCCCTGGTTGCTGATTTATTTTATCAATTGTTGTAGCAAGTATCGTCTGTAGGAACCCTGTCCCTTATATACCACGAGGGGCTGAATTTTTTAAAAGTTTTATTCCCAGGTAACATTACTACTGTGATTCCAAATGACCTGTCTTGTCATGAGTCACTGTAGTTACAGAATGTTCACCAACTCGAATTTCTACGGTATAATTATTGTCGTCTGAAGTGAGTGGTCGACCCAAGAACATGACCACGAGACAAAAGTAGCTTCTGCTTCGGGAGTCGACAGGTAGGTAGCTCTAACTGCACACGTAGAGGAGCGTCTGACCATCTTGGATGAATATGTGAAAAACGATTTGCGTACATCCCCATCAGTTGATTGGACGTTCTAGTTCAACCATTTTATACTTTCTCAGCAGTAGTTTCAAGTAAAAAAAAACCTAAATAAAATTTATTGCGATGGCCGGGAATCGAACCCGGATCAACTGCTTGGAAGGCAACTATGCTCACCATTACACCACCATCGCCGATACAGAACTGCGTTCGATAAAGGCCAATATATTTTCAAGCACTCTATTTCGTGTGGTAATTTGTCTAATAAAATAAGTAATTATTAAGGTATTTATCGCTAGTATTACTTGGGTAATCGTTCAATGCCAGGTTTAATTTAAAATCTTGCTATTCGCAAACACCATTCCAACAACTCAACCAAAAATTCTCAGCTTTTATAAATACATGTAATCAATAGTGGGTATGCTGTGTTGTGTAATTGTTTCTGTAGATGATTATCATAACTATGTAATTTGTATTTGTGCTATGACATCATTGGCTTGGGCCTATGACGGATCTGTGGAATGTAAATAAATTCTATTCTATTTCTTACTAGCGTTCATCAGTATCTGCTCAAAACGAAAAAAGTGCAATGAGAAAAATACTGAATGCATTAACAAATCGCGTTTCTCGATGTCACGTGATTATTTTTCATCTTTATCTGCATTCCCATGTCCATATTGTAAAGAAAGAATTATCTTCTCAAGAATTACTAAATCTTACGCTTAAGCATGTTTGCAGCAAAATCTGTCTGAAACGGAAATTTGATTAGGGGGGGTGCCTGCCTTTGAATGAAGACCAATGTACTTTTACGTGATCTAACAATGTAAGTAACAGAAGAACGTAAACTCAACTGTCATTACACCATCACGGATGTTCGACAACAATTGAACACGTCCAGTATAAACAACAACATTTAAGACAACAGCGATAAGTACACGAACATTTACAAGGGTAAAATTATCTCAAGCGTGACATTTCCACTGAGACATTCCAGACAAAGCAGACATTTGTCTCTGACGACGGTAAATGATTCTAACTTTTATCGAACTCACACGCCAAGTCTTCTGATGAGCAGCTCAGGCGAGAACGAGCCTGTATTTACCTAAACCCGTTTGTAGAGTTCATGTGAACCGCTGCGTGGTTTGTACATGTCTGTCACGCGTGTAAATAAACGATTATATACGAGAATATCAGACAAGCGGCACAATTATCAAAAGATGTCACCACTTCAAGACTGCTTCAGCTTGTAGATGGATGCATTAATGTTTCCAAGACAACGACAAAAACAACAGAAGGTGAATCAAGTCGTAGTTCTAGAGAGCTACTGACTTCCCGTGGTTGGAATACGAACTAAGTCCGTTGTCTGTAGATTCTTCGCCGTGAACTTTTAATCGATGCAAACATAAATAACTGTCAGCGTCGGCCTGCAACCGCACACAGAGGGGTTTTGATTTAACAGTTTCAAACTCTCTGAAAGAGAATAAAGTGCGTCTGTACGTGTTAGAAGAAAATGTAAGAAATAGTTTCAATTGTTATGGAATATCGATACCTGGTTGCCTTGGAATTAGCTTGTTTCTTCACGTATTTGTCTGTTAACGAATCGTCCATTCTAGAATGATTACAACACACGTGTCTACCTCCAGTTTTACTGTTCTGGGTCGAGGTTTCTGTGTCCCTCGGTCTTGGAAGACGAATTTATGAACGCCAAAATTTCTTGTCAAAAACAGTGACATAATTCCTCACTGAACAATATCCAGCCTTAAAAGTCGAAACAGAATAATAAAATAAACAAGTACAGGGAATATATTAGCGTGGGATTTACGTCTCTTGTAACTTTGGAAGCATTTGCTTGTTTGTGGTTTATTTAAGGGCACTGTAATCAGCTCAGTTTACATTAACGTTGACTGATAATACGATTAATTAATTGGAAAGAGTAGATAAGGAAACGGCCATGGCCTGATTTAAGGTACTGTCTCGATATTCCTAATTTAAGCCCTGATAATAGAGGTTGTATGTTCCTCTGAAACGTCGGAAGCACAAGTTGACAGCACTCAAAATTTGGATCGCCACAAATAATGAATTACTGTGTCAATGAATTAAGTTACGAAATATTTTATTCCTTAAACAGTTGCAAGCAGGGAGGCGAAATTAAGTTAGTCGGAACTTAGTCCAAAGGACGTTGCTTAGAAACTAAGCATTGGTGCAATATAAGTCATGGTAGGGCCACAAATTCTTGATCGTGTTGTTCATCAGATTTTGTCGAGATCTGTTAACCGGCTCTATTATTGAAACGCGCGGACGAACAAAATTACTTCCCTATTATGACTTCACTTTGTACAGCGTATATTGGATATTAAAAAAAATTTCTGATGTACCGGCATGCACTTGAACGTAGTCAAGTAACAGCTCGTGCCATCTGTCGGAAGCAGGTTCATATTACAGTTACTTTCCAATAGATGGCTTATGCGTGTGTTTCACGTGTTCATTCAACAGAAGGAAACTGTAATATTATAATGAGTCATTAAATTGCTTTCTTTATAATATTTCTTCGAATAACAATAAACGAATGAAAATATAGAGGTTCGAAAAAACAACGGAAGTACGCGATAGTGTTCTTCGACTGTCATCCGATTACATATGGCGAAGAAAATCGATGGTCGACTAGAATCTTTCGATTTTCTTCCACTGTCTTCCGGTTGAATATGGCGAGTTATTCGATACTTTTAAGTCGATTGTGCTAGTCACTTTTGTCTAAATGGAACAGCTGAGAAAAATTGAAATACATTTCTATTTCCGTCACCACATTTTTAAGTTGGTAACCATGAATGATATTGGTTTTATACAAAACATGCACTCTGTAAGTTAACTCAGCACCAATGCTACTGCTAAAATATCCGTTTCGAATTTCTGAACCTGCTAATCTGCACGAATATTTTTTGATTT